GGGCCCCCAAAGACCCCTGGAAGCAGAGGGCTAACCAAGCGCCCCCTCCCCCGGGGGGACCAAAGGCGCGACGGCTGCGCCCAGAGGACCCCCCCCCCTCCTTGGCCCGGGTCGGAGTCCAAGGCGCCCCGGAGAGAGCCGGCGGACAAGCAGGAGCGAACCGGCCGCGTTGGGGAGAGCGGAGCGGGACCAGCCCTGCCCGGAAACCGCGGCGCCCCTCGCTCGGCCCTGGCGGCTCTCACCTCTGCGGGCGGGGCAGCGGCCGGAGTCGGAGCCGGGACAGGCGGCCAGGAGGCAGCAGCGGCCGAGCGGGAAGCCGGGCATGGGGCGCGCGGGGGCGGCGGCCGGAGCGGAAAAGCAGCGGCCACCTCCCTGGCTGCGGAGGCCGCTGGCCGCCCATCCCTCCTCGGCCCCGCTCGGCGCCCATTAGGAGCTGTAGCAGCTCAAGTAGCGGAAGCCTCTGGCGAGGCCCGCGGCGCATCTCGCCCGGCCGCCACCTGCTCCTCCTGGCTGGCGGCGCAGGAGACCCCTCTGGCTTCCAGGTCCCGGCCGTCGCTTTCGAGGCTTCGGCCTTGCCGGGATTCCGCGCCCAGTTTCTTCCCGGGCCCCGCCGCCCGTCAGATGCCGGGTGCGGCGCAGAGGACGGAGCCTGATCCGCCAGCGGGCCCCGCGGAGCTCAGGACTGAAGTCCCGGGAGTTTCTTCGGCTGCAGGAGGAGGAGGAGGAGGCGCAGCGGAGCTTTTCCCCAGCAAATCTTCCCGGAGCTCTTCCGCAGCCAGCGCAGGGCGGGCGGCACCAACGGCAGCTGCGGACAGACTCGCAGAGGTCCCAGCCGAGAGAAGCCGAGCGGCGCCCTTCGGGCAACGGGACCACCGGCCGCGCCTTCAGGCCGGAGTCCGGATGAAAAGCCCGCAGCAGATTCAGAGATGCGCCGCCTCCCCACCGCGCGAGGCGGGAGAGCGAGGCCCCGAGCGGGCCAAGGCTTAACGGCAGCGGCTCAGAGGTGGGCAGGAGGGGCGCAACCAAGCAGCTGGCCCTGGGCACGGGAACCCCTGGCCCTCCCTGCCGCTTTCCTGAATGGCTTCCTGCAGCCCCCCGGCCTGATCTGGCTCAGTTTCCCTTTGCCCAGCTTCTGGCTCTGTTCTGTTTTCAGTGTCTTCCTCTGCCTCCCAAGGGATGGAGGGACCCTCCTGCCTCTCCAATTTTCCAACCTTGGGGTAGAAATGAGGGGGAAGAAGAAGGGGTCTGTGCTAGCAGGGATTCTGTTAAGTGAGGCTGCTTGAGGATTTCCAAAGAATGCAACTCTTAATTGTGGCTCATGCTGGTGTTTGCAAGCTAATTCCAGAAGTCAAGTGTATTCATCAATGCAGTTAATTAACCCTCTGCACACATTAGCTGGTTGCTGTAGCATTTAATGGCAAATCTACAACAGCCCTTCGTTACTGCAGCCGGCAGTCTTTCTCATGTGCCCAAGGAAGGGCTGCTCGCCTCCCAATTATCCTTGTTGATGCTCCAGGTCTTAAGCTGTCAAGGAAGCAGCTGCTCACTGGAGTCCCTTAAGCTCAGGCAGGAGAATCATAGCAGCCAATGGCCGGCCAGCCAGAGGGTGAAGCTCTTTCCTTAATGGGAGTGAGAGCAGGAGGCTCTCGCAGAAGAAGCTACGGGCTTTCACAGCCCTTGCCAGAGTTAGGACAATAATCGTTCCGCCATTAGAGCAGGAAGGAGAAAGTCAATCGTTCTGGGGATTCCTTCACGTGAGGGGAACCAGCTCCGAGCACAGGCTCTGACCAGCGCCACTCCACACCAGCCCAGCACTGTCTCTCGAGGACTCTGGTCCAAGGTCTGCTCATCCAGGCCCTGCCGTCTTCTTAGAGAAGCTGACATCAGGCCATGGTGCTCAGCATCCCACAGAAGCCGGGCAGTGGAGAGTTGTACCAGGAGTTGCCAGTCTGGGCGCAGAGGCCTACGGCGTTAATATTTTTGTACATTCTTGGAAAACTAAAATTATCCCCCTCTTTAAGCTAATTATAAATTTATAAGTTTATAAGTTTAATAACATTTATATGCCGCCCATAACATAATTATCCCCCTCTATAATTTACCCTGTAAATTACTATCCAGGGAGACGTTTTGACCTGATGGATACATCCTTTTATCCAGTTTGATGTACGCAGCATTACACAAGGCTCAGAAAAGGAGTAACAAATAGTCAGGTAAAGAAATAAAAGGATGAGATTATAACAGGAAGCATTATAGGACTAAGTGAACAAAAGGCCATTTATCCACAGCTGTCTTCATTTCTTCCAAACAAACTTTTAATTTCCCAGAAAAGACCATATACTGCTCTGAGCTTCCTCCCTGAAGTGGGAGGCCTTAAAATTCCTCCACCCCTTATTTTCTTTAGTAAACATTAAGCAATACTTCCCTTACTTTAGCAGCTTCCAGCTCTCTGGACTTCAACTGCCAGAATTCTCATCAATGGCTCTGCTGGCTGTGGAATTCTGGGATTCAGAGTTCATTTAGCTAGAAATGGTTGGGATCCTTCCACCCTTGCACCAAGGCAACTACAGTTGCATTAAGGTCACAGGAGTTTATTTTTTCTCATTGCAATTTATCAATAACCTGCATTTCTTATCCATTTTCTCTGCCAAAATAGTTTTCTTTTTTGGTCTTTGATAGATTAATCTCAGATCCATGCTGCCTCTCGTGTCATATAACCTAACATTTGCTGAAGATGGTTTGGGTTCTTAGCAGATGCCTGGACAAATACAGAGAAATCCGCACCCTCAACCAACATGCCCCTATCACACAGTCGGTAAAGATTCTTTCTCCCTTTATCTATAAATGCATGAAACAACCAACCAATGCCTGCTTTAGTGCTGAATTACATATTCCATTTATTCTTTGGTGTATTTTGTATCCCTCATCTATCAATGTTTCTGAGTTGAACAAGCGATATCCAGTTCCAAAACTACAAAACCCAACTGAGGCCCACTCGGTCCCTTTATTGAACATTTCTTCTACATCAACAAACTGACATTTGCTTCTCCTTACAGGGGAATTTTTCTTACCAACCCCACAAAACTTTCATCTTCATATCCTGCCCAGCCTGAAGCTCCACAGCTACTCACTCTGCTTTACTGTGATAATTTTAAAAGTAACTGACTCACAGAAATGTGATAAGAAACAAAATAAGAAGGGGGGGGAATGGATTAATTGAAAATAAAAAAAACATTGCCTCTGGGGATTTTTCTTAAATGGTTGCTTTTCAATAAAAGTTTATTTGAAAGGGAGCATTTTGCTAAGAGGGGATGTTTAAGGTCCCTACAGAGAAGGCCTTGCCCAGGCTCTCCATTTACTCTGAGCCTAACAGAGGTTAGGACTTCTGAGATTTCATTCGGAGGCTTCGTAGTTCCACCTTCTGCTCCCCCCTAGAGCGGCCCTGTGGACTCTGAGGGCTGGCCAAGGATTCGAGGGGGAAATTTAAAGGTTAAGCTGAACCTTTTGGCAGAAGGATGAAATAGAAACTTGGTATTAAAGTTAAGCAATCCTTCTTGAAAGGTGGCTGAAATCAGGCTCCTTCCGAAATCTCCGTTCTGCATTACATTTCCCCATGCAGTCTTTTTTTTTTTAAATGCAGAATAGCCAAGAGGCTCAATTGTTAGAAAATGTTTGTTGCAATGAGCCTGCCTGGCCACAAGATGTCAGGATTGTCAAACGGAAAACGTGCTTCGTCAAGTGCGAGTTAAATTGTTGCAGGAAGTTAGTGGGATGCTCTCTGCCCTGGCCAGAATGTTCTGCTTTTACAGGGAAAATGTAGTCGTGGAGCGCATTCACACGCTTCTTCCACGGTTCAGTAAACAAACCTTACAATCCCATCCTATTTTCACTTCTACAAAAAATCTGCCCACTCACATATTTGTGCAATGCAGGTAATATAAATGAGGAAGGGAATGGAGGACTTTCCCCCAGGAAGGCCCGATATTCATTCAGCTGCCATTGTCAAACGTACAAACAATTCAGTGTTACTTTTGCTCACCAAAATCCTTTTTTTCCTTCCGTTCAATTGAGTCCAATATTTGGAGACTGACAGAAATGATCACCGTTGCCCCCTTCCTAGGGCTGAAAGAAAGTGACTGGCCCAAAGTCACCCAGCCGTCTTCATGTCCAACCCGAGAACAGAACCGAGGAGTCTCCCAGTTCCCAGCCCGATGCCTTAACCTCTACACCAGGCGTGTCAAGGCCTGTGGGCCAGATCCGGCCCATGGGGTGCTTAGAGCTGGCCTGTGAGGCCACTCTGGAAGCCGCGAAGGGCCGGCCCTCTGCGGTGCCTCTGCCAGCAAAAACAGAGCCCCGTTTTCACTGGCAGAGATTTGCAGGAGCCCGGTGCAGCCAAAAACAGAGCTTGGAGGCTCGTTTTCACCGGCAGAGCAATCAGGCCACCACAGCCACGCCTGGCTTTGAGTGATGTCAAACTGGCTCACCCCAGCCTCCCCGAGGCCAAACGCAACTCTGATGCGGCCCTCAACGAAATCAGGTTTGACAGCCTGCACTGCACCAAACTACCTCTCAAAGTACTTTTAAAAAACCATAAAAATTGACAGCACCATAAATAGGGGCAACTTTATTTTGTTAGCTTGAGTTTTGAAAAGGTTTTATGCATATGCAGTAACATCCTTCATGGGAATCTTACATTTCTTGCAGCCCAGGCCTAAAGTGACTTCAAAGGTCATCCAGCAATTGAGCCGGTTCTTCTTCCCTAGCCTATTCATGCCTAGCTGGGGATCTTGGGCAAGATACAGTTAATGCTGCTGATGAGAGCTTTGTAAAGCCGTCTTACTGTAGCTGAATCGGCCGGGCCTTTCCTTGCCTAGCAGAGTCTGCAAAACCTGGGCATAATCCTTCAAAGCTCTTCATTACTCCGACCTTCAACTTGATGGCGCCACGAATCTCTTCCTTGAAATAGTTAGAAGCATTTGGGAAATTACCCATCTGATCGCCAAGGAAGGCAGGAGGTCTTCAGGACAAGCAGATGCCCGTGACTTGGGAAACCCAGGGTGAGTCACCGAGCCCCAGCCACACACCCACACGCAGACCGAGTGGAAGCCTGGAACGGAGTGACTCATGGTGAGCTGAGAGCCTCCGTGCCTGAATTAAATGGGGAAGACATTTTCCTAGGTCAACAGAGGAGAACTTTTCAATGGTGAAACTGGGGCCCCTTGAAGGCTTGAATGCCAGCAGCGGAATGGGAGCAAAGCTTGGAGGGATCTTTCAATATAACTGTCTCATCCTCCAGTTGCACCACAATTAGCGTCTTGCTCAAAATGTGGGCATTCCCACTATTGTTTACATTGATTCACACTCAGCTCACCATGGTCCTCGGCTCTTGAACATCGCTGTGGACGTCTTTCTTTTGCTCCTGGGCCTGGCTTGCTAAAACTGCACAGCTGAAATATTGTGTAATGGCCACACTGTAAACATAACCTCCCATTTACCTGTAAGTCTTAGCAGGACTCTGTTGCACCAAGAGTGTCTCTTTTGCATCACATCAGCTCCACCATCCAGGTGGAATTCATATCATCCAATTATTTTGAATCACCTGGTGCTGCTGCCGGAGGCTGCTTTTCCTGTGGAAGGGAATTGCCCTTGAGAAGGTGGGGAACTGGACTGCAGCCTCTCAGTGCCCCAAAATTCACACCCAGAGGGTGGCATTGGAAGACTGAATGGTGGCACAGTGGTTAGAATGCAGCATTGTAGGCAAACTCTGCCCACTGCCAGGAGTTCAATCCCAATGGGACTCAAGGTTGACTCATCCTTCCGAGGTTGCTAAAGTAAGGACCCAGATTGTTGGGGAAAACATGCTGACCTTGGTAAACCTCTCAGAGAATGCCGTGGAGCGCTATAGGGTGGCATATAGGTCTAAGTGCTATTGCTATAGTCTGAATATCCCACCCCAGGCCGTTCTGTAGGAAGGGCTGCAATTGGGAAGGATGTAACCATACGTCATAATTTAGATTTCAATATATTTGTTCTCCCAGCATTTTAACAAACAGCTTAAAAAGGGATCAGATGGGGAAAGAGAGCAAACTAGAACAGGTGAAGGAAGTTAGAGCAGCTGATTGAAAACTACATATTAGTTTCTCAGCAAAGTAATCTTTTAGTGAGAAGATGACGATAAAAGTCTATGGATAGAAGTGACCACTCCTGGAGTTAGCAACTAATGGATTTGCTATTTGGGCAGATTTTGTGGTGCAGAATCCAGCCTCCCCTTTTCTTCTCCTCCTGCATTTCCTTCAATGGGTAAGAAGAGTTATTTGCTTGACTCGGCTGGCAGCCCCATGATTGTTGCACAGACGGGTAAATAATTATTTAGATAAACATTCAGGCAGTGAATCCTTGCTATTGTGAATTTTAAGGCGATGGGCGGGTAGGAAACATGGCTGTGAAAAGCTCTGGTGCATTTCAAAAACGGAGAAGCTCTAAGAAACTCCCTGCCACAGTAAACAGACGGAGGAGCCACTTCTCAGTGAAAGAAAGAAAATCCCAGTCAGAAAGAGAGGATGGCTTCCTCCGGGAAAGCATCCCACCCATTCCATGGGGCTCGGCTCCGGCATTCGTTTCGTGGGGAGGCCAGTTCCGCAGAGCCTGGCCAGATAACCCCCTCTCCTCCTCCTCCTCGCCTTTTCTACCTCCAATCCAGCTCTGATCTATTTGTGCTTCTGAACTTCTGCTTTCGCAAGGAAATACGCTCGGCTGCCTAGTCAAATGAGTAAGAGAGGAAAGTTGTCAAAAACTGCTTTCCTTTTCTTGCTTGCTTGGAAATGCAACCAGCTCAGGACGAAACTTGCACAGGTAGGTCCAAATTTGCCATTTTTCCAGAAACTGCTATCTCTGCAACGCTTGAAGAGTTGCTTCCAAATGAAACGTCTGGAAAGAAGCTGCCGTTGCTGTGTAGAACAAGATGGGTGGTTGTGTGCAGTTTTCTGGGAGGAGTTGAACTTGCTAGTTGTGTGGAATCGGAGAGGCCACAGGCGCTGCTGTGTGTCCAACCCCCTGGGTTTAGGTCGGTCTCCCTTCTGCTTGGTTAAAGCCTCTAAAGGGGGTGGGGGGAGTGTGTGGTTGTGCTGTGGGGAACATTTCTCTGAGGCAGGGGGCATTAGTGAGAGAGCGTGGGGATGCAAGAGCCCTTCTTCCAGATCCGGCCCCAGAGCTCTCTCCTGCACCCATGACTGTGCACATTTCTGGTCACCGCAATCCAAAAAAGATGCCCTAGGCCATAAGTCGGGGAGGGAGCGCAGTTTCAATTATTTTCCAAAGCAGCAGAAGTCAAAACAAGAAGCAATGGAGGGTAATTCATCAAGGAGAGACCCAGCCTAGAACTAAGGAGAAATTTCCTGACAATGAGAACAATTAACCAAGGGAATGACTTGCCTCCAGAAGTTGTAGGTGCAGATATTTAAAATTTAAGTTTATCTTGGCATCATCTTGGATTACGCAGTCTCCTTTAAAGCCTTGTTTGCTCTCCATTAAAATAGAAATATTAGAGGTTCCAAATGGCTCTTCATTTTGGAATTCTAGCATCCTCAGGCATGTTCCTAAAACGTTGTGGTGATTCAGCATTACTTGCAGAAGATAACAAAAGGCAAACAGTAAAGTTACAAAGACAGAACAATTTGCCAGGGCAAATCAGGGTGCTGGAGTTTTAACCTGTAGGAACTTGTGTGATGGCAGAAAGTCTTGTACAGAGCACAGAGCCTGTCCTTAAAATGGGGTTTTATTTCTTGAGGTTTCCTTGCCCTCTATAGTGATGTTCATGGGATGTTGTTGTTACTGTTTTTTAACCGTCTTCTTGTTTTCATCTTAGTTAATGTTAATTTGACTTTGCACAGATTGGCTTGAGCAATTGCTGCCATGTCTGTAGTTCATTTTTATGCCCAAATTCCAAAGGTAAATCGGAGGCCATGTTTAGCCATTTATACCGACAATCTTTTCTTGCTGAGGCCAGAGTGGATCCGGTGATAATACATGAGGCAAGGGAGGGATGCAGCAAACGGTAGCAGCAGGAGGTCAGTTTGCAAGACCTTTAGAACATGCCTGCGATAAAATATTAAGACTTCAGCTGTGCTGATCTGCTCTTCTGCTTCTTAGTTGTACTAAAATGTGTTAGGTGGAAACTATGATTTATCAAGCCATGATGGTATTCGTGGCCCATCTGATGATGTGTCTGGCACATGAAAGACCAGGTCTTGACTTGGAAAAAGAATATCTGGTGGAGAAGAAGCGAGGTCTTGTGTGTTTATGAAAACTCTGAGAAAGGGGAAGGGCCTACAGGACCCGCTCAGAAGGAAACTAGTCTCATCAAGTGGGTGGGTGCAGATACTCATGGAAACCGAGACATTAAGTTTTATATATCTCAAGGTTTTTCAGAAGTGCTTGGCCAACTGGCTCCTTCCTAGAGCCAAGAGAAAGTGGCTGGCCCAGATGGGACCAGAACACAAGGTCCTCTGGTTTCTAGTCTGATGCCTTAACACTTGCGCGAAATAGGCTCTCGGTTGTTATACTGTATTTGGCTATTATCTTTATATCCCAGGCAAAGGAATGTTGTGGGAAACCATGACTGAAATTTTGGCCTTTGGAAGATGGCCACGGTGCAGCCGCGTCCCTACCCTGAGATGTCTATTTCCCATTCAGAAACTTTCAAACTTTAATGGTATTTGTATGCCGCCCACTCCCTAGGGACTCAATCCACTGCCAAATTTAGATAGTGTGCTTTAATTATGAATGAAAGCACTATAATGTCTTAGCTATATGAAGACCATGTCAAGTGGTGATACTGCTTTATACTGAACTGGTGGTGAAGTGGTGAAGACACACTTGGAATGCTGCATCCAGTTTTGGTCACAATGATTTGAAAAAATGGTTGAGATTCTAGAAAGAGTGCAGAAAACAGCCGTATAGATGACGGGGCTTCCGGAGGCTAAAGTGTACGATGAACAGTTGTGGAAATGAGGCATAGCTGACCCGTTGAAGAGAAGGATTAGGGGCGTCATGAGAGCCGCCTTCCAGGGCTTGAGGGGGGCCGCCCCCCAGGGAAGAGAGGTTGTTGGCCTGTTCTGCAAACTACCTGCTGGAAGCAAGCTGGAAGATCTTGAAAGGGAGGTGGAAACTTATCAAGGAGAGACCCAACCTAGAACTAAGGAGAAATTTTCTGATAATGAGAACAATTAATCAGTGGAGCAGAAGTTGCCTCGGAAGATTGTGTGTGCTCCATGACTGGAGGTCTTCAAGGAGAGACTGATGGCCATTTATCCAGGATAGGATAGGGCAAGGGGCTGGACTAGAAGACCTCCAAGGTCCCTTCCAATTCTGTTATTCTATGCTTTTGCTCTATTTTCTTCCAGATCATTTTGACCAAAGCATGGAGCCTGTGCCAGAGCTACCAAAAGCATTGGAAGAGAAAGCGGACTCCCCAGATGAGCATGGAAGCCAGGATCCCACCCTTCCCAAGGGAGGCCATGGGGCAGCGGTCAGAGAGCGTAGCACAGAGCCTCCGGGCCAGCAGCAGCTCTCCTTCCGAAGGGAGACCCTGGACCGGCAGGTCTCTGACTACATGGAGGTGGCTCTTTTCCTGAGTCCAGAAGAACAGCAGAGGAGATGGCTTCCCATCCTGGCCGCTTTTCTGAAGGTTAGTTGGATGTCACATTATTGGGTGTTTTCAACAGAAGGAGGCCCAGCTGATACCCATAGCAAAGAAGGAAAAAGAGGAGAGAAAGGAAGAGAGGAAAGGAAATGGCCTCGCTGAAAAGGTACCAGGGAAGGTGGGAAAGCCTTCTGCTTCCACTTGGAAAGAGCGGCTGCTTTTGTGAGGTAGCCTCCGTCTGTGGGGGGCTTAAGAGCAGCTGGAAGGGACCGGGGCCCTCAGGGGCAGCCCTGGAAGTCTTGGAGGCGTTTATCAGAGAGAGGAAACTGAAGCTGCTTGAAATGGTGGTGCAGAGTTTCTTTAATTCCACTCCACACTCTTGTGATCTCTCATGCCATTATTTTTACTTCATTTATTTTAACAAAAGGCAACATTCAGGCTTCTTAAACAGAATATGTCTACGTGTAAAGGAACATAGATTTACTTCACCCGCGATTTGTGTCATGGAAGTGTCAACCTTTTGCTGAGGTGAAGCTGAAAACCACAGATTTTTAAGTCTGCTACATTTGATTATAAACTTTTTAAAATAGCAATAGCAATAGCAGTTAGACTTATATACCGCTTCATGGGGCTTTCAGCCCTCTCTAAGCGGTTTACAG